GTATTCCAGAATCTACGGAAACGAAAAAAACGTGGCTCGAATAAAGTACTGGCCTCTCTCTCTCTCTCTCTCTCTCTCTCTCTCTCTCTCTATCGTTCTCACTCTCTCTTTCTCTCTCGTTCTCACACTCTCCTTTTGCATGCTTATTTTCCACATTCCGGACTGAGAAAAAAGCAGTGTTTACAGAACTTGTTTACTGCCATTGCATGAGAGACCGTTCTTAAAGTGGGACAGGGGAAGACGGAAAAATAGAAAGGGGTAGTGCAACAAGTTCATATATAGAAAGGGGGAGAGCAAGGAATGGAGAAAGAGGAATATATATATATATATATATATATAAGAGAGAGAGAGAGAGAGAGAGAGAGAGAGANCTGCCTGCCTGCCCGCCTGCCTGCCTGCCCGCCTGCCCGCCTGCCTGCCTGCCTGCCTGTCTGCCTGCCTGCCGCCTGCCTGCCTGCCTGCCTGCCTGCCTGCCTGCCTGCCTGCAGCTGATGTTTGCAGCCATACACAGACGCGATGATTCTTCGTGTATCGAGCTAGTCGGCTAACTCGTGCGCATCTGCTGTGAAACCTGACGCGCCCTCGCGCTGTCTCTCTCCTCTATACGATACTGCTGCGATGTTTGTAGTGGAGGGCAGCTGACCGAGTCCTGTCTGTTTACATATGCCCACCTGTCCCCTGCCCACCACACACACGCCTGCGATACAGCCCCCTCCCCCTCCTCCTCCCTCTCCCCATCACACACGCCTGCTGGTAATACAGCCCCCTCCCCCTCCTGTCCAGCAGCTATTGCTAGAAGCTGCCAGTGACCTGTGAAAACCCCACGAGCAAACAAACTGCCTGCGTCGGCGCCCCCCCTAAGCGGGTTGTGTTCCCGTGGCGGAGCGTAGGCGTGGTAAAGAAGGAGGTCGGTGCCGGGCAGGGGAGGGGTAAGGAGAGGGGATCGTGAGTGGAGTGACCGGAGACGGAGGGCGGAACGGGAGGGTAAGTGGAGGGGAGGGTAAGTGAAGGCGGTAGGCGGGGGGGAGGGGAGGAGAGGGGATGGGAGGAGTAGGGTAGGGTAGGGTAGGGGTAGGGGGAATCCTGTCTGATTTAACTCTTTCGCCACTGCCGTTGTTATTAGCTGTATTTGTCAGCATCACAGCAGCTATGGCGACGGTGGGAATGTTTGCCGTGGTTTCAAGGTTGCTTCTATAATTAGCATAACTGGGGGCGAGTTGGTGGGCCGGCGGACGGGTGGGCCGGCGGACGGGTGGGCTCGGACAGGCTAGCTGTACCTATGATGTGCATGTCTGGGAATCAGCTGTATCAGGCCCCGCCCACTTACCCACGTTAGAGAAGGGAAGAGAGAGCGAGAGAGAAACGTCCTGTCCTGTGTGCGAAAAAGCCGGTTCAAAAAGCCGGTTCTATCGGCGGCAGGGGAAGTTCAATGAGAGCAATAGTGGCAGCAGCAAGTCCTGCACACACACACGTGAATTAATCGAGCAATAAAAACCCACCAGTGACATGTGAAACGTGACACTCTCTGTAGCGGTCCGCCTCACCCCGGGGGGGGGGCAGTGCGGTAGAACTATGCTAAACCACCTATGCTATATTATATATACTATGCTTTCCTAATACTGCTAGTTAATATCGCGTGTGTGTGTGTGCGTGCGTGCGTGCGTGCGTGCGTGCGTGCGTGCGTGCGTGCGTGTGCGTGTGCGCGTGTGTGTGACTGTGGTGGACACCATTCGCCCGCTCTCCTGCCCTAACTATACTTCCTGTCTACGCTTGCAGTGCCAGCGGGAATGCGTGGCCTATATACTAAGTTACAACTACACCAGG